CGGGCAAGCTCATAGCCGAGCCTCTGCTCCATGCCTGGACACTCTGCTATGGGACCGGCCGCCCCCAGGGTTAGAGGCCTCGCTCGCTCACAAGAGCATTTCCCTGGGCTACACAGAAGCAGCCCAGGTCCCTTCATTATTCCTGGCAAGCTCGGACCCACCGTACCTCCCCCAGGGAACCCCCTGCAGACAGCGGCCAGCACTGGCCGGGCAGGCCGTGTGTTCTCTACAGGGCTGGTTTCGCACTGACTCACCTTGAACGGCCGGAAGAGCAGGTAGAGCTCTCGGGGCTTGATATCCACAGGCAGGCCGCTGACAAAGAGCGTCCGGACCTAAGAGAGAGGGGCGCGCACTGAGCACCGGCAGGCAGAGGCTGGTGCGCTAGGTACCACACGCATGTCAGGGAGCTGGCCTCAATCCACCACCCTGTGCCTGCCCGGCCTTTTCCCGGCTCCTGGCAAGTCGGGAGCGCTGTCTGTCACAGTACGGGCACGGAAGTTGGCTGCTCCAGTCCTAGAATTCAAGCTTCCTGCAAGGGGCTGGAGTTTCCCGTCTAACTGGAGTGGTCGTTCAAGCCACCGGCCCACCTTGGCACAGCAGCTCCTCCTGCCTAATGCCCCGGGAAGCAGTGGGCCAGCATCTGCTGTAGCTGGCACCCCGGAGCCATGTAGAACGGCTGTCACACCCCAGAGCTGCCTGCGCTCCATTGGCTCCACTAGGCCCAGCCCCTCAGTACGACCTGGGCACTAGAGCAGGGCCCGAGCCGTTGCTTAGACACGAGACCCTGGCTTGAGGGCTCCGAGGTGAGTTGCTTCACCTCGGACGCCATCTTGCTGGGGGTCCAGAGCAGGCACCATGGGATTGATGCTGCAGACTTCCACTAGCCCAGAGAAACCTGCTGGTCACAGGAGCGAGACCTGCTCTGTCCCCATGCAGGAAGTGTCTAGCCACACTGGACAGGAGAGTCTTTCGGCTTCCAAAGAGCGCAGGGTGCTAGCTACTCGCAGGTGCTCAGCGGGCTACAGACCTGCCGGGACCCTTTCTGGCAGCCTCCCAGCAAGAGTCCAGTCCTTGCTATGACATCCATCCGGGGCCTTAATGCCTTCTCCAGAAGTGCTCAGTGCCACACCAAAGAGCATCTCTCACTCGGCCAGCCTCACCGCAGCTTAGGCAGTCGCTTTTAGACCTCTCCGGAGTGCCATTCCCTGAGGGAATTTGCCCCTCCCCACCCCACACATACACACACTGCACAGGGCTTTCAGCACAACTAGAGAAGTGAGGGGGTACGGGTGCCTCAAAAACCCTCCTGAGGCAGGGGCTGCCAGGCCAAGTGGCAGCAGGACAGCCCATGGAGACCATGCTTGTGACCATGCAGTGGTGACAACATTGGCCCCGATGGCTGCCGCAGCCCGCCCAGACTGAATTACTGGCTCC